GTAGAGACTGAGAAGTTCTGTTTGCACTGCCCTGAGAACGGCAGTGTTCAGCTGTTGAAGTATCACTCAAGTACGGGAAGACGCGTTTTATTTGAGTGATAAAAAACAGATAAGATACGATCGAAGTGTTAATCATATGCAACTGTTCGGCATTCAGTAAAAACAAGACGAGTTTAATAAATTACGTTGAAAAATAAATGCATAGGGAACTAGAAGTCGATAAGATCAACAGGCGCCAAGGGTACGCCAAAACGAAAACACTAACAACCCTGGTAAAACCGGAAACGATTTTCTTTTTCAATTTTTCCTTTTACAGTTTCTTCAAAATTTCTTAGTATCTGAACTTCGGATAATTGTTTTATCATATATCGTTCAGATCAGAATGATTCTGTTCGCCTCGATTATTTGCCTTTTTAAACGTGGCGAGTATCACAATATTTATTAGGAGAAGGGAGTTGGTTGGGTAAGTATTTTACGTTCAAACTCCTATTCGAGGTCCGTATTAAACCCGGTCATCACCTCGACTTCAGGTTTGTCCAGCTCTTCTGTTTTCTCAAAATTCTGAATTCTGACAGTGTCCATGACCCTGCGTACGGTATACTCTCGTGTTAGTGTTTTTGGTCAAATGTTTGCGCGTCTCTAAGATCATACGCAAGAGTAGAAAAGTTCACCGTTAGAAAATGACGGTTTTTCGATTTCGTTTACCTTCCTTGGGCCATCTCAATTCACAACCAGAATAACTCTACTGTTCCCAACTGTGGCAAATATGTTTGCCCTTAATATAGCGTTGCTTCTTTTAATTTTGTCCTTTTGAGTTGACACTGTGGTATTTTGTCCTTTTGAGTTGACACTGTGGTGTGTTTTATCCTTTTGTGTTGACACTGGTATATTTTGTCCTTTTGTGTTGACAATGTGGTAAATTTTGTCCTTTTGTGTTGACACTGTGGTATGTTTTGTCCCTTTGTGTTAACACGGTGGTGTATTGTCCTTTTAAGTTGACACTGGTATTTTTTGTCCTTTTGTGTTGACACTGTGGTATATTTTGTCCTTTTCGTTGACACTGGTATATTTTGTCCTTTTGTGTTGACACTGTGGTATTTTTTGTCCTTTTGTGGTGACACTGTGGTATATTTTGTCCTTTTGTGTTGACACTGTTTTTTTTTGTCCTTTTGAGTTGACACTGTGGTATCTTTTGTGTTGACACTTTTATATTTAATGCCTTTGTGTTGACACTGTGGTATATTTTGTCCTTTTCGTTGACACTGGTATATTTTGTCCTTTTGTGTTGACACTGTGGTATATTTTGTCCTTTTGTGTTGACACTGTGGTATATTTTGTCCTTTTGTGTTGACACTGGTATTTTTTGTCCTTTTGAGTTGACACTGTGGTATCTTTTGTGTTGACACTTTTATATTTTATGCCTTTGTGTTGACACTGTGGTATATTTTGTCCTTTTCGTTGACACTGGTATATTTTGTCTTTTTTGTGTTGACACTGGTATATGTTGTCCTTTTGTGTTGACACTGTGGTATATTTTGTCCTTTTGTGTTGACACTGGTATTTTTTGTCCTTTTGAGTTGACACTGTGGTATCTTTTGTGTTGACACTTTTATATTTTATGCCTTTGTGTTGACACTGTGGTATATTTTGTCCTTTTCGTTGACACTGGTATATTTTGTCTTTTTGTGTTGACACTGTGGTATATTTTGTCTTTTTGTGTTGACACTGGTATATTTTGTCCTTTTGTGTTGACAATTTGGTAATTTTTGTCCTTTTGTGTTGACACTGTGGTATGTTTTGTCCCTTTGTGTTAAAACGGTGGTGTATTGTCCTTTTAAGTTGACACTGGAATTTTTTGTCCTTTTGTGTTGACACTGTGGTATATTTTGTTCTTTTGAGTTGAATCTGTGGTATATTTTGTCCTTTTCGTTTACACTGGTATATTTTGTTCTTTTGAGTTGAATCTGTGGTATATTTTGTCTTTTTGTGTTGACACTGGTATACTTTGTTCTTTTGAGTTGAAACTGTGGTATATTTTGTCCTTTTCGTTGTCACTCGTATATTTTGTCCTTTTCGTTTACACTGGTATATTTTGTCTTTTTGTGTTGACACTTGTATATTTTGTTCTTTTGAGTTGAAACTGTGGTATATTTTGTCCTTTTGTGTTGACACTGTGGTATATTTTGTGTTGACACTTTTAAACTTTGTGACTTTGAGTTGACACTGTGTTAAATTTAGTGTTGACACTTTTATATTTTGTGCCTTTGTGTTGGCACGGTGTTTTTTTGTCCTTTCGAGTTGACACTGTGGTATGTTTTGTCCTTTTGTGTTGACAATGTGGTGTTTTTGTCCTTTTCGTTGACACTGGTATATTTTGTCCTTTTGTGTTGACACTGGTATTTTTTTGTCCTTTTGAGTTGACACTGTGGTATCTTTTGTGTTGACACTTTTATATAGTATGCCTTTGTGTTGACACTGTGGTATATTTTGTCCTTTTGTGTTGACACTGTGGTATATTTTGTCCTTTTGTGTTGACACTGTGGTATTTTTTGTCCTTTTGTGTTGACACTGGTATTTTTTGTCCCTTTGTGTTGACACTGTGGTATATTTTGTCCTTTTCGTTGACACTGGTATATTTTGTCTTTTTGTGTTGACACTGTGGTATATTTTGTCTTTTTGTGTTGACACTGGTATATTTTGTCCTTTTGTGTTGACAATGTGGTAAATTTTGTCCTTTTGTGTTGACACTGTGGTATGTTTTGTCCCTTTGTGTTAACACGGTGGTGTATTGTCCTTTTTTGTTGACACTGGTATTTTTTGTCCTTTTGTGTTGACACTGTGGTATATTTTGTCCTTTTCGTTGACACTGGTATATTTTGTCTTTTTGTGTTGACACTGTGGTATATTTTGTCTTTTTGTGTTGACACTGGTATATTTTGTCCTTTAGAGTTGAAACTGTGGTATATTTTGTCCTTTTGTGTTGACACTGTGGTACATTTTGTATTGACACTTTTAAACTTTGTGACTTTGAGTTGACACTGTGTTAAATTTAGTGTTGACACTTTTATATTTGTGCCTTTGTGTTGGCACGGTGTTTTTTTGTCCTTTCGAGTTGACACTGTGGTATATTTTGTCCTTTTGTGTTGACACTGTGGTATATTTTGTCGTTTTGTGTTGACTCCTTTTGTGTTGACACTGTGGTATATTTTGTCCTTTTCGTTGACACTGGTATATTTTGTCCTTTTGTGTTGACACTGTGGTATATTTTGTCGTTTTGTGTTGACACTGGTATATTTTGTCCTTTTGAGTTGAAACTGGGGTATATTTTGTCCTTTTGTGTTGACACTGTGGTAAATTTTGTGTTGACACTTTTAAACTTTATGCCTTTGTGTTGACAATGTGTTTTTTTGTCCTTTCGAGTTGACACTGTGGTATATTTTGTCCTTTTGTAATGACAATGTGGTGTATTTGTCCTTTTGAGGTGACACTGTGGTATATTTTGTCCTTTTGTGTTGACAATTTGGTGTATTTGTCCTTTCGAGTTGACACTGGTATATGTAGTCCTTTTGTGTTGACACTGTGGAATATTTTGTGTGGACACTGGTATATTTTGTGCCTTTGTGTTGACACTGTCGTATATTTTGTCCTTTTGAGTTGACACTGGTATCTTTTGTCCTTTCGAGTTTACACCGTGGTATATTTTGTTTTTTTGAGTTGACACTTCGGTATATTTTGTGTGGACACTTTTATATTTTGTCCTTATGAGTTGACACTGGTATACTTTGTCCTTTTGAGTTGACACTGTGGTATATTTTGTCCTTTTTTGTTGACACTTTGGTGAATTTTGTTTTTTTGAGTTGACACTTCGGTGTATTTTGTCCTTTTGTGTTGACACTGTGGTATATTTTGTCCTTTTGTGTTGACACTGGTATCTTTTGTCCTTTCGAGTTGACACCGTGGTATATTTTGTTTTTTTGAGTTGACACTTCGGTATATTTTGTGTGGACACTTTTATATTTTGTCCTTATGAGTTGACACTGGTATACTTTGTCCTTTTGAGTTGACACTGTGGTATTTTTTGTCCTTTTTTGTTGACACTTTGGTGAATTTTGTTTTTTTGAGTTGACACTTTGGTGTATTTTGTCATTGTGTTTTAACACTGTGTTACGCTTTGTGGTTTATTCCACGTTAACATAAGCAGGTTTTAGATTTAACAGTGCAAATTATTTGTCAAGATTTTGATTGGATGAAATGGGGTTATCATTAAACTTCTGGAGATCTTTTAAGATTTTTTTGAAAAATTATCCTTGAAATAAATGACAAATATGCTTTTGGAAGTCAGTTTTGTCACCCTTGATGTTTTGCACCTTGAATCCATTTCATGTTTACATGTGGTAGGGAATTTCGAACCATTCTATGGAGAATGTATGTAGTACTATAACCACTAAGTATGGTACATGGATTTAATAAAAAAAAAAAAAAAAAGCATACATAAAACCCCTTTCAATTAAAACTATACCGGTGGTACTGTTTACTTTCCTCTGTAACCCGTCCTATTACCAATGATAGGCCGTAACAGGAGTAAGTACAGTTTATATTGAATTTAAATGTAATTACTTGTACTTTGTACAATGGATGGCGATTGCTGGCAGTCGTGGAAACGATGTTAAATGCCGTGTATATTCATGTACATATACACCGTATCAATGAACAATCTTTATTAAAAAACCCAGTCGAACAGTCGGCCTAGACCGTCTTTTACATCACACCGACTCAGGGATACACTGTTATCATGATCAGACAACTTGCAGTCAATTTGTGTAAACCAACGCGAATCCTTGCACATTAGATAATATCGTACGATATTTGAGAACACGGCGGCCGACATTAGATATATAGATCTAAGGGTATTGTTATCTCCAGCATTAATATGATGACTATATAGGTGGTTTTATGTATATGTATTGCCGTGTTCTTAACACTAATTTATTTACCTACAGCTGACACCACTCAATCTACGGAAAATCTCGTTCACGTGGGCGTGGTAAGTATCATAGGTACACTAACACGTTACATAACGCAGGCTCAGTTATCTTATTTGTTTAATGTATCATTTTTGGTTTTTGGAGAGATATGCGTTCTTTCAAAATGTGATGTTTTGAAAAGGCGTTTTAACCTTTTTATATATGATAACATGCTTGATGAGATATATCGTTAATCTCACGAGTGCCATTGTGTGATCTTTCTTTTCCACTTTGACTAATAAATATAAGATTGGAGAAGAAGAGAAGTGACGAAATGCAAAAAGTCATTGTTTATTTCGGAAATGTGTATGTGGTTTTTTTTTATAATTCTGGAGTGAACTCACCAGAAAGAAGAATGTTTTGATCACACAAACACTAATATCTTTCATGTACAATATGAAAATAATAATGACTTCAGGAAGAGGCTAATGCTACTTAATGACCCTTAATCGAGAGAACTGTGTCAACGAAGGACCGTTACAAGTGTGTGTCTCCCGTGACACAACCCTTGGAGAATTGTTTCCAAAAGAAAGAAGAAAATTATTTTAGTGCACCTTTTTTTTTTAACTAATTTTTAACAATTAAAAAAAATACACAAACACTTTGACATCTTGAAATTGTTATCCCAATTGTTGTGTCAGTGGGATCCTTTGGTTTTGAATAAAACTGAATTGTACGTTCTTACGCACCTTTCTTGTATTTCACCATTCGTTTATTACCTGTTTCGTCTTACTTGTATTTTCCCTTCCTTATCTTATTGTTGACACCATCACAGATAGCAACTCTTGGCGTCACGCTGCTTCTCCACAGGCACAAAAAAACACAACGCATAGCGCTCATTGCCAGGTGTAGTAACCTGTAGTCAACGAGGAATACAGCGAACTTTTCCCACGTGGAACAGAACAAGATTAGTTAGGCAATCGTTTCCTTAGAAATTATCAAGTAGTTTACTGATACTATTTTTGTAGTTAACGTCATTACATAAAGAGAGGGTCAGACCTTAATGAACGACAACAATACTGTATCATTTGTCACTTTGCTGTATTACTTATCCCCCCTATTTAGTTATGCACAAATACGATATAATGGAATACTTGATTACAATTTTAGATATTGATCAAGGTTCAACATAACACTGAACAATGGCATATTTTATTTCTTTTTGTTTATATTCTTTTATTTTTCTCTCATTATCGAAAATACATCTTTGTCTCTCCTTCTTTCTTTCTATCTATCTTCATCTTTCTCTTTGACCTGTACTCTATTTCTCTATCTTTTTTTCTAGAGATTTCTTTACCGACAAAGTATTTGTATTACTACAATCAACAAGTGACCCTGGTAACAGCCTAAAAATTATGACAATAGAGTACCAAGGTATATATATATAGTATAATAGAATAATCTTTTAATGTCAGAAAACCTTACAATTGCTTCTGTTAATTGCCAGGGTCTTGGAGATTTTAAGAAAAGAAAGGATGTCTTTACATACATTAGAAAAAAAAATATGTATACTGTCTGCAAGATACTCACTTCACATCAGAGCTAGAAAATAGAATAAGAACAGAATGGGGATATGACTGTAAATTTAGTAATCATAGTTCAAATTCAAGAGGGGTAGCAATTTTGTTCAACACTATTTTTTCTTACACTATTCATCATACTACGTGTGACACAAATGGTAATTATTGTCAAGAAAACAGACTCTAATAACTTGTTAGGGTCCAAATACTGATATTCCAAGTCTTTATTCAGATATAGAAGAAACATTATTAAATTATAACAATGAAAAGAATATTCTTTGTGGGGACTTTAATTTGGTTTTAAATCCATTGATAGACACTTGTAATTTTAAACATATAAACAATCAAAATGCAAGAGATAAGTTATTTGATATAATAAATGAATGTGATCTAATTGACTCTTATATGGAATTTCACCCAGATACAAAAAGATTTACATGGAGACGGGAAAATCCTACAAAATATGATCGACTTGATTTTTTTTAACCTCAAGAAATGTTTTGTCAAATATCATTAATTGTACTATTGAATCCAGCTATAAATCAGACCACTCCATGACAACATTAACATTACAATTTCAAGAGTTTAAAAGAGGTAAAAGTCTATGGAAATACTTAATACTTTATTAAGCGATACAGATTATGTAAAAACAGTCCGGAAAGTAATTACAGATGTAAAGAATCAGTATGCAGTTCCGATTTATGATGTAAATAATTTAGATAATATAAATGAAAACGAAATACAATTTATTATTGATGACCAGTTATTCTTAGAAACTTTACTTATGGAAATTAGGGGGAAAACAATTTCTTATGCATCTTATAAAAAAAAGAAAACTTCTAAAATAGAAAAAGATTTTATTAACAAAATTCAAAACCATGAAGAAAGGGAGGGAATTTCAAATAATGATGATATCCACAAATACAAAAAAGAGCTAGAGGATATTAGAGATAAAAAAATGAAGTGAAATATGTTTAGATCAAAGGTAAAATGGATAGAAGAAGGGGAAAAACCATCAAAATATTTTTGTAGTTTAGAAAAAAGAAATTTTACAGAACAAATAATACTAAGGGTAGAAACAGAGGTTGGGACTTTTACAAAACAGGAGGAGATTTTAGAAGAAACCCGAAAATACTACGATAGACTATATAAAAATAATGATAAACCCTCTAACTACTCATGGTTTGATGATATTTCACTTAATGATGTCCCTAAACTTTCATTTGAAGAAAAAATAAATTAGAAGGTAGGATTGATTACAATGAAGCAACACATGTATTTACGAATATGAAAATGATAAAAGTCCCGCGTTAGATGGTTTTACTGTATTTTTTTTTTCTTTCTTTTTTTCTGGAAAAATCTAAATCCTTTTATTATTCGATCAATAAACTGTGGGTATGATAATGGGGAACTTTCTATTACTCAAAAATATTATTTGTATACCAAAAGGAGATAGGCCCCGTCAGTTTTTAAAAAAAATTGGAGACCAATTTCTCTTTTAAATGTTGTCTATAAAATAGCGTCGGGATGTATTGCAGAAAGACTTACATCAGTTCTAGATAAACTTATACATAGTGATCAAACAGGTTTTATTCCGGGCAGATATATAGCTGACAATACTAGATTAATTTATGATGTAATGGATTATATAGAGGAACAAGACATACCACACGTGTTACTTTTAATTGACTTCGTAATGGCTTTTGATTCTGTATCATGGTCATTTATAAACCAAGTTTTAGAATTTTTTAATTTTGGTGAGTCAATTAAGCAGTGGATACACACTTTAACAAATAATATTTCTTCTTTAGTGAACCAAGGTGGAAACTTATCTAAACCCATAAAATTAGGAAAAGGTTTATTCCAGATGGCACTGCAATATCACTTAGACATGCTAGAAAAGAGCTTAATTATTTCTGGGAAATATCTGGACTTAAATTAAATTACACAAAAACACAAGTAATATGGATGGGAGTAAAAAGTATAGTACAGACAAATTAGTCAATAATCTTGCTCTATCATGGGGTTCAACACATTTTAATCTGTTAGGTATTCACTTTGATGTGGACCTTACTAAAATAGCTCAATTCAATTTCAAAAAAAAAAGTACGAAATTAAAATCATTAATTAAACAGTGGAATAGACGATATATAACTCCAATAGGCAGGATTACTGTAATAAAATCTCTACTTTTACCAATACTAATACATTTATTCATAGGATTACCTTCTCCTAACCAAAACATTATGATAGAAATTCAAATTTGTTTTATGCATACCTTTGGGGAAGTCCAATAGCTAAAGTAAAAGGAGATGTCATTGTACAGTATGAAGAAGGTGGTTTGAAAATGATTAATATCAAACATTTTGAAATGGCTCTAAAATCAACATGGATAAGAATTATTTGTCTTAAGACGTCAAATTGGCAGACCCTACTGTTTGAAAAAATAAATAAGGATAAACTGTTAACTTTAGGAAATAAATATATTGATAATGTTATCAAAAATATACTTCATAACACATTTTGGATGGATGTTCTTCATGCATGGAATCCATTAAGGGGGAAAATTGATATATCTCAGCCAGATCAAGTATTATCTTTACCCATTTGGTATAATGACTTAATCAAAATAGGCAATAATACTTTGTATTAAAAACAATGGTTTGATAAAGGTGTGTTTTTCATAAATGATCTAACTAAGGAAGATTGCAGTTTCCTTCAACATCATGATTTTAATGATGCTTTCAATTTAAAAACTAACTTTATTGATTATAATGGTCTCATTTTTGCAATAAGAAAATTAGGCTAGACTTTTGAAAAAAAACTTACACTACCATTGATACCACTGTATATTGATATAATTATCAAACATAAAAAGGTACAAAGGATATGTACAATGTGCTGAACAAAAATAGTGTAGTGCCTACAGGTCAAATAAAGTGGAACAATGTATTTAGAAATGTACCAAGTGAGGATTGGAAGAAAGTATACAAACTACCTTTTGACACTAATACAAATTCAAAATTACAATGGCTGCAATTTAGAATTAATCATCACATTTTAGTTACAAACACCTTTTTGAAAAAGATTAATTTGGTTCAGTCTGATATGTGTATTTTTTGCTTCATAGAAAAAGAAACTATTCAGCATGTACTATGGGAATNTACCAAGCAACTTAATTGTCATTAAGGATAAAAACTAAGTAAATCTACTTTTTTTCTCTCCTCTTTTTGCAAGTTTTTTTCTCCTCTGTTTTTCTTTTTCATTTGCTGATAAATTACAATAATCACCCTTTCATGAATAATTATTGCTTTCGTCGGGAATCTCTTTTCCTCTCTTCTTACTCTTATGTCTCTCTTATCCCTGTCCCTCTTTTTTTCTGGATAAACTTCTACTTTTTAACCAAACTATCCCCCAATCCCCGTTTCAATTAATTCCAGTCATTTTCTTGTATATTTATTTTTCTAAGCGTATGTTATGCAAGTTATATTTGTGAACCA